CGCCGGAAGCCCGGCCCGCGCCCCTCGACGGCCCGGGGGTCTCGGGACGAGGGGGACGCGAGGCGGCCCCGGGGCTCGCACCGCCACGGGAGACGTTCCAGAGGAAACGCTCCGAGCGCCGCCTTGACCTACCATAGACACCGTCCTCCATGGCGGCTAGGAAGGCCCGCGGAGAGTCCGGAGCTGTCCCGCCGGCCGGGCCTGGATCCGCGTTGGCCCGCGGGCTCGGGTGAGCCCGCTCAAACGCCCCGGGAGCCACCGCCGCCTCCTCAGCGCCAGTCCTCAGCGCTGAAAAGACTCTGCTTGCACTGCCCAACCGCCCGGCCGCTAGGCACCGCCCCCTCGTCTCGACACTGGCCAATCCTCGGAGGGCTCCCTCGTCTGCTCCGCCCCCGACATTGAAGGGTCGCTTCCCAGACCAATAAGCACACAAGAAATAAATGTAGCAATGTCCGGACTGGAAGGAGACGGCCTGTGGGACCAATCGGAGTAAGGGGAGGGCACCAAGTCCTGCCTCCGAAACAAAAGAAAGCCCTTGGCAGGCGTGCCCTCCAATGAGAACCCTCAGAAAGGAGTGGCTGGGTGGGGAGGGGAGCGAGGGAGAAGGCTCTGCGATGCTGAGAGGACTGCGCCTGCGCAAAGAGTCCGGTCAGCCGAGCCGAGGCTCTGGGGAGACGTTGCTAGGGGGCGGAACTTTGTTAGTCTTGCTGCTAGGGGCGGGGCCTCAACTGTGGTTGTTACCCGGAGCCACGCCTCCTAGAGGTCCAAGCTGCCTTTTGACCACCGCGGTTACTAAGCAACCGGGAGCCGCGCTGGCCTAGCCTGTGGTCTCCCTTTGCCGGGCACATCCCTCTCCTCTCAGCCCCCCTCCTCAGCCTCTTATAGAACCACAGGAAGGGGTGGCGAACCCCCCTCGCTCGCCCCACCGTCCTTCTTATGATCCTTTCACAGCTCTCCCAAACTGGTACCTACCTGCCCCTACCCCTCTCCTCCTCGTCCGCCCTGCACGGAACACGGGTGCAGGGGCCCTGTAACCACGCACCCCTAACGGGGGGCCAGGCCTCGTCCTCATTTGCCGTCGTGGGGCTGCGCAGGTGGGGATGGATTCAGGGCCAGGACCTGGTTAAGCCTTTGGATTAGACAAGGATCCTCCTAACCTCGCCGACCTTTCCGAATGGCCCTGCGCCGCCCTTTTCCGTGGGGACCCAGAGAGGGCCACACTCCCCCTCCAGTCAGGACCCCCCCCCGCCTTGCCCCTTGACCCCCATCCAGCAGCCTGACCCCACCTCTGGATCTCCATCCACCGACCCCTTTCCTGCCCAAGACACTGAGCTGGGAGGGCTGCCAGCTAATTAATCCCATCCGGTTCTTAGCTGGGGATTCTGAAGGATAAAGAGAAGAGAAGGGGAGCCAGGAGAGGGTACTGGGTTGATGCAGAACTTGGCAGACTGGTGGCCAATGACAATGCCTGCCCTCTGTGCAGGACACAGGGTGGGAACACGCCCTGCTCTTCCTGGCACTCGCTCCCTCTGCGGCTGGCTCTCCACCACTTGGGCACTTAGGTTGATGACAACACTAACAGGTTGGACCCAAGGACCCGTGTGCCCCAGAAACACACAGATGTCTTTCATCCAGGGACTGGCCAATGGCTCACATGCCTACTTTCCTCACAGTGGGAAAACCCTGGGTCTGTTGCACACAACCTCTTTCTTCCCCAGCCTCCTGAGCAGGACCAGGGAGATGATGAGCCACAGCCCAAATGATTCCTTGGTGACCCTGAGACTCAGTCACTCAAGTTAAGAGCCAGGCTTCATGATCAGCTCCCATCCTCCCCCCATCTGTTGTAAAACTCAATTGGGGGGGCTGGTCAGGAACCCCTAGGTCCTGCACCACTCACTCAGCTTACCAAAGGTGAGGAATCACCCAGCTGGAAAAACTCCAAGATCTGATGCCCTATTTTTGCAGATGGGGAAACTGAGGCAGAGAGGGGAATGATTTGTCCAAAGTGGGGGGTGGGGTGGAGGGGGGGAGAAAACACTGAAAGCAGAGAATGTTGTGTAAATCTGGTAAACTTTGAATTTAGTTTTTCTGCATCCCTGAAAAGGACTCCAATCTAATTAGCTTGAGTCAGTTTCCAACCTTGCTGAAGAAACCAGAGAGGAAAATAGATACCTGTATTTATATTATATATATATATTATACATATGTATAACATCATTAAGAAATAGAGACACATAACTAGATGCAGTGTTCCAGAACATTCAAGACACACCAGCCTTGGGTCTCTCCCTCCCTTTACCCACTCATCAGTCCTGTGACATGCAGGGTCTCAGCTGGACCCTCACTTGCTAGGTCTGCCCCGAAATGCTACTTCTTCAGTTCCTCTCCTGGAACAGCCAAGTAGTCAACCTGGAGGTGGGGAGAACTTCCAGGCTTTGCAGATCTGGCTACTCTGGATCCCTGGAGCCTCAGTTCCCTTTGGCATTTCAGAACCACAAGCAGTCATGGAGGATGGTGTAGAGTGGACCATCCGCTCCCCTGGGCAGACCGGATGCAGTGGACCGCAGACACTAGAATCCTTCCTTAATTCTCATCAGCGGAGCAGCTCTCAGAATCTCAGTTCCTTTGGATGTACTAGAATGGCACTTCAAACAAAAACCCAAAACCATCCTGTGGGTCATTTAGAAGCAGCATTTATGCCCCCAGCTGGATGTTTTTTTGAAATTCTTGATCCTCCTAAAGCCACAGACAACCCATTGTTGCATGTATTCTAGAAACATAACTCTGCATGGGTTCTCCATTTGTTCAGATCTCTAGGCCAAACTGTTCTAGAATCACAAGGCCTTAGTAATCAACCTGGACACACAGAATCTGAACTCATGAACTTTCTGGAACCACAAAGTCTTTCCTCTACATGTGGTTGCCTTATCCTTGTCTCTGGTAAATCGAGATGGCCTTGAATCCTTGCACTTGTGCGCCACGTCCCCTGCTGAGTCGATGTGGAGAATGATTTGCTTCTTTGTTGACTGAATCAAGCCTGACCTAGAGATTCTGGATCGCCATTGCTGATCAAGAACTGCTGACTTCCTCCCAGGAGGCAATGGGGCAATGGTCTCTACCACTGGTTTCTGACTCTGATCAACACCCAGGCCCAGCCACAGAGAGGAATCCAGAACCACTAGGCCTTGCCTCTTGGGTGGTCTAGAATCCTGGATCTCTTAGCTCAGGTAACAACTCAGGAATTGGGCTCATAGAGGGGTCCCCGAAATGTCCTGTTTGGTCTACTAGGCACAGCAGGACCTCACCATTTAATCTGTTCCCCTCCCCCCATTCCCTCCAGGAGGCATTTGGTCTTAGGAAAATGCCTGCCCGCATCCCAGAAGAGGGGCCTATTGCTCTCCATCCTGCTCCTTCTGGGAAGGGGACACCAGCGGGGATGGGGACACCTGCTGGGGTCAAGGAGGCAGGGTTAGCTGCAGGGTTGGTGAGATATCTCTGGGGCTGGCAGCTCTGTCTTCTGCCTCCTGCCCAGGCTCTTCCTGGGTCTCCTCTTCATCCTCTTCCTCCTGGCAGCAGCTGAGAGCAAGTTCATTTTCGTAACAAAACGCGGCCAGGGAGCCAGGGAAGCTGGACTTGGGGCTGTGGGAAGCCTGCTCAGCGCGCTCGTCCAGCTCCTTGGCACTGCACACGGGCGTCCCTGGGACCTCGTAAGTGCGATGGAAATGGCGATAGTCCACTTCATACTGTGAGCCCCGCTGGAAGAGTACAGGCTCGAAACGATGGCCCCACAACAGCTCCCCAGGGAGGTAAGAGGAGCGGCACTGTGTGGTCATCGCTGTGGCCTCCACCATGCCCTCTAGGATGACCACCAGCTCAAAGTCTGCCCTGGCCAGCTCCGCCCGGCCCAGCTCGTACAGCGGACTGGACGAGTCGATCTCATGCACGATAGTAATGGGTGACACCAGGAAGATGCGATCCGTGCCTCCATCAAAGCCCACGTCCACGTCCTGGTGATCCAGAGGGATGTACTCCCCCTCCGGGGTCACTCGGGGCTGCAGGAGAAAGCCAAGGACCACAGCCAGACAGAAGGCAGCCACACATTTCCGGGAGAATGGAGACAGACATGCCCAGAGAGAAGACAGCCAAGATGGTGGAGAGAGCGAGGGATGGGTAAAGATTGATTCAGGGAGAGGGCCAAAGACCCCAGGGTTAAGAAGGACAGAGACTCAGAGCAAAAGGAACAGAGAGATGTCAGAGACAGAGTCAGAGAGAAAGGAAAACAGAGACCCAGACAGATACCCAGAAGGACAGAAAAAGAGAAGTAGAAAGAAGGGAACAGAAAGCCAGCAAGAGAGAAGCAGACACAGGAAGAGACAGATTCAGAGGAATGGGGGGGGGGAGAGGGAGAACCGGGAAGAAGGGGTGTGACACAGACCAAGAGACCCAGAGAGAAGGGGAAGATTGTGGTCCAAAGACACAGACAGGGGATAGAAACCCAAAGATAAACAGGGAAGGACACAGACAGGGGTGGTTGATAGAAAAAAGGAGGGTACATGAGGGCCAGAGTAACAACATTGAAGATTGGAGGACGAGGAGGGATAGGGAAAAAAGTTATTAATATATGTTGGAGAAAGAGAAACCAGGATGACAAAAAGAGAAGGACAATCTAGGTCCAACACCCAGCATCTCACTTTCCTTTAGGTGAGCCCCAGGTTGGGGCTGGGCAGCTTTCTCTAGCAGCTGACTGGGGATCCCAAAAGCTTCTGGGAATTGGTAGTTCCCATGGCCACAGATTCCTCCTTTTGTCTCAAATCCAGCCTCAGCCCAGGGTTGAGTGGCTCCACTTGGACAAAGGCATCTGTGTCCTCCTCCTCCCCTGCTCCCATCCCCTGTACATTGGAAACCAGGATATTTGAACACTTTTTTTTTTTGGTTGGTTGTGGGTTTGAACTCTGGGCCTGGGCTCAAGGCTAGCATTCTACCACTTGGAGCCACAGTTCCACTTCCGGTTTTCTGGTGGTTCATTGGAGATAAGAGTCGCATGGACTTTCCCACCCAGGCTGGCTTCAAACCGTGATCCTCAGATCTCAGCCTCCTGAGTAGCTAGGATGACAGGTGTGAGCCACTGGCACTCTGCTCATTTGAACAATTTGACCACGGGGGTAGGAAGATAGGTCTACCCCACAGACCTTGGAGAAAGAATGTTTTTCAAGGACTGGGGATTGACCCAGGTGTGAGAGTGCTCCCCTAAGAGCTTGAGGCCCTGAATTCAATCCCAGAAATGAAAAGCAAAATAACAAAAGATTTAGGGTTTTCTAAGATAGGCATGGTGGTGATCCATGCCTGTAATCCCAGCTACTCCAGAGGTGGAGGCAAGAACATGGTGAGTTCAAGGGCAGCTGG